AGGTTATATTTATAATTTTTATTGTAATACAAAATATAATAAATATTACAAAAATATTAACTATTATTACACAAAATTATTATTATCCGACAAAATAAAACTTATGCAGAAATAGTTACGTTGTTGATGCAAATCTTACTTAAAATAATAACTAATTCTAATTAAATATAGATCTGCATCAAAAAAATTCTAATCTCCGTATATATTTTACTCTTTTATATTATTATTATATTAAATATATAATTTTAAATAATATTTATAAATAATTTATTAATACTAATTAAAAAATTTTATTAAAAAAAAATACTCTTTAAAAACGTTAATTTATAATAACTCTGATCAAAATGTAGCAATAAAATTTCCTACACAGCAACGAATTCGCCCATGGTTTCAAGAGTGACCAATAAAATAAGTAAAAAAAAATATATATAGTTAACAAAAAAAAAAAAATAGTTAAAAAAAAAAAAAAAAGCAGTGAAGTTTACCCATTGCAACGAAGCTGCTCACTCCATGGCAACGAAATTCCACAATCAGACTCCAAGCTGACAAAATTGTGTGACTATAACGACTCCAAATATAACAGTTCCAAGGATGACTCTAGCAACGAAATAAGTACATAAAACAAGAAAAAAATTGTTAGCTAATCAGAAAGAAAAAAAAGAACAAGAAACAAATATAACAAAGATTACCTTACGGCAACAAAGAACATTCCATTCACACTACACAGACTCCAAAAATTGTACTGACTATGACAACCTCAAAGATGATGGCTTTAAGATCGACTCTAGCAAAGACTCCAGCAAAAACTTCAATGATGAAATGAATTAGAAAAGAGAAAAAAAAATTGTTAGTTAAGAAAAAAAAAACACAAAAAAGAAATATCCATCCACTAGGTCCATTTCGTCAAATTATATGTGAAAAGCAATGATGCCAAAATCTATAACCAGAAAATATAGTACCCACCTAAAGGCCCATACATCTGACTAGTAACGACACCAGAAATCTGTCAAAGCGAGAAAGTTAGTAAGAAGCAACAGAACTACTGAAAGAGAAAAAAAAGTCAAAGAACCAGAAAAGACTACATATCTAAAAAGCCTATTCATCCCAACCTCATAGGCAGATATTCATTTGATTGGAAATAAATTCAATTTAATTTTACATTATTTATATAGTTTAGAGTACTTTTTAAAAAAATAAAAACCAACTATAATAAAGTAAAAAAATGATATAGAAGGTTTCATTAAAACTGTAGAACACCATAGTCAAAAATAAGATCTAATTATCGTCCATTTAAAAAAATTAGCTTGATAATAAGTTGATTTTATTGGGTCATTATTATACTAACTTGTTTAAACGAATGAGAATTGGATCTTATTTTTGACTATGGAGTCTTACAGTTTTAATGAAACCTTCTATACAGCCTTTTTTATTTTATTATGATTAGTTTTCATCTTTTTTAAAAAGTACTTTAAACTGTATAGAGTATAAAATTAAATTGAATTTATTAGCCAATCAGACAAACTTCTGCCTGAGTCCCAACTACGAGCTGAAAATGATAATGCTGAAAGCCTGTCAAAGAGAGAATAAGCAATGAAACTAAGAATAATGCCTACATGAAAGGTCCAATAATTCCAACCATGCACCGAAAAAGATGCAGAAACCTATCAAAAAAGCTGGTATAAGTTAATAAAGCCAAGATTATACAAGGATGAAAGATAAAAAAAAAAAACCTCCAAACAAAAGAACAATACCCACTCAAAAGGTCCATTTGCTCACGCTTTTGCAATCACTAATCCATCTACTTCAATTAAATAGCAACAAGTTCACATTATAAAAACTCCGAAAATAATGACAACGATTGATTCCAGCAAACAGCATGTAGAAGAAAAAAGAAATGGTTAAAAAAAAAAATTCTGCCTGAACAACTTTTACAAAGGTGACAACTCTGCAACAATGACAGCAACGAAGAGTTTACTCCACAGTGATTCCAAAATGACACCAACGATGCAATTACATCAAGAAAAAATGAAGAGGTTAAAAAAGAAAAAAAAGTTTATATAACTTATTAATACCTAATTAACTCATTCACTTACCTAAATTTGCTCTTATAAGTAAAGTTTTTAAAGATACTGATCTATACTGATCTTTTTTTACAGAAGAAATGCGAAGAGTTAAAGAACATTATGATATGCATTAAAAAAAAATTTATTATGTAAAACTATGAGTTGCCAATTGACGATGTGGTTTTTTATAGTAAGGGTTACTTTAAAAAAATTTTTTTATGTTGTGTAACTCAGTAATCTTCAAGCCAATCAAATCGAATGTCTATCATGCTACCTAGTGATGGGAAAAATGCGCATTTTATAATAACATGCGCATGAATGCGCATTAATGCGCACGAAATGTTTCATGCGCATGATATCGCATGATAAAAAAAAGGCAAAAAAAAGAAAAATGATCGAGAGGAGAGAAATCTTGATGGGATAAAATGCGCATGAAACGGAATCATGCGCACGCATGAAACCCATCTCTAATTTTACCCCAGTTGTTGAAATCAAAGCAATTATGTTTGTTATGTGATTATGATTGGCGGTAGGGTGTTAATAAAAGATGGGCCTAAAGTAAAATCTTGCAAGGAACTTTGTGTTTTGAATTTCCCTGGTCGTGTAACGTTACACGTGATCCTACGATATAAGTGGTGCGTTACAACGCTAATGCACCAATCCAAATTATTATTTGCAACATATAACTTTACATTTAAATTTAAAAATCTTGCGATTCTGCTGTAAAACCACAAATTAATACCTTAATATTATATAAAAATTATGTAAAAATGGTTTAACTTTCTTTAACTACCTTTTTACATATTTTTGCTTATTTATTAGTTTTTTCATCTTATACAAATTTTGGTACCTTTTTTCAATTTGCCATTTTGCTATTTTGATTTTTTTTTATCAAAAATTAAAACTAGTTTTGATTTTTGCTTGTAAAAAAACCTTCAAGTTTTACCTAATAAGTATATAATATCGGGCAGACAACAAAAAATTTCCAGCTGTTTGTCGTACGTATGTCCAATATTGACGTTATCAAATAGTTAATATGATCATGTAAGGTTTTTTCCGTGATATTTTGCAAACCTGATTACGCAATTTCATGCAAAAATATCATGGCAAAAAAATTTGCGGGGTCATTTGAAATGTCGGATAACATTTGACTAATATTACAACAATCACTCTAAAAAATTCATTACTATATTGCTAGTCAGTAAGATTTCAAGATCATAACACAGAAAAAACGTGACAAATTAAAACAATCCAAAAAAGTCAGACATAACTAACGATGCTGGAATAATTTATCGTTATTGGTGAAATTGGTCACCAGAATCTCTATTCATAACCCAACATTTTATCTATAAAACTCCTTCTGCACACTAATAAAAAGTTTTCCTTACAAAATTTGGTATTAAAAAGCTTTTTAAACCTAAACTCTAACTCTAATTTGGTTGCACAATTTTCATTAGCGAAATTTTTTAAGTTGGTGACGCTGGGGTCTTACGTTGCCTAAAATTGCTAACTAATGCGTGCAAGATTATCTAATTTCAGAGGCTAATTTCAGCAAAGTGCAACTTAAGTTAACTAAAGTTGCAACCTCATCGGGTGTCAACTCCAATCACGACACAACATCATAATCAACAATTTTTCAACTGCATAATACAAGGGAAATTCTATTTTGACCCGGGTCAAAATAACCTCCCTAAAATTTAGGGCTAGTGCGGGCCAAAACTATGTAGATACCGACCAGGGTTTTTTAATATAAAAACCAGCCGATATTAACGGCTCGAACTAGCTCTAAATTTTAGGTGGGTTATTTTGACCCGGTCAAAATAGAATTTCCCTAATAAAAATATTGTTATTCTTAAATATCATGCAATGTCTTATATGCTATTTCACTCATTTATTATGTAATATAGTCAACACTTTATAATGAACTGAAGAAAAAAGTTCATTATAGAAAACCATTATGATTTTTTAAGAAGTCATGCCACTTTTATACTGAACTATTATGAAATTTGAAATTTTGAGTTCTTTATATCTAGAGCGACTGTAATGACTAATTAATTTGGTATAATTAGTTGTGTCGCATTATTAAGTAAAATTAGAACTTATTTATCTAATCAAAAAAAAATCAAATTCTGAAATTTAGTCGAGATGGGCTACTTATTTATGTATCATACAAAAAAGCTTTCCACTTTTTTTTCATTCTGAAATAAAAGTAAGAGTAAAATAAACAAATCTATTATCTTTAAACAAATTTAAATAATGGACTTATTAAGCTTAATTTAGGCTGAAATTCGAAATTACATCTCGAATTATTTCGTATGCATATCTAATCATATTCTAAAATAACAAAATGGTATTTAAAAAAATACAATAAAATAAAATAAAAAAATAATATAATTATAATAATAAGAAGTCTATCCGAAATAAAGTCACTCGACAATCTATAACAAAAAGTAAATACATTGAAACATAAAGCAATCAATAAAAATAAACATAAAAGAAAACCTAGAAAACAAAAAACAACCAATAAAAATAAACATAAAAGAAATCCAAGAGAATACAAAACACTCATATATAATAACGAAGACAAACCCATAAACAAAATTAACAATAACGTACAAATCAGTGCAAAAAGATTAGAACTTAAAACTATGCAACTAAATGTAATTAATCTAAAATAAAATATAGATTCTTTCCTTATTCTACTCATCACTGGATTATAATTATTTAAAGCCCACACTTCATATTCATCAGAATGGAATAAGTATGAACTAATTATTCTATGCTCATAATTTTCCTGCTTGCTAGACCAACTTCCTGAATTTATCATGCATAAATCTGATTTTCCAAAGCAAGGACCATATGATTTATCATTCATACTCAATACTGGATTTGATTGATCGGTTATAGAAAAAATAAAACTACTTGAGGTTTTACTAAAACATGCATGCCAATTGAATACATAAGATGGTACTGAATAAATAGAAGAAGTATCTAAAGGATACATCATAAAAGTACGAACTTTAATAGCAAATATTTTCCAATTTACAGGATTATATCCACCTATTAATTCACCCGTGTCAGTTTTAAGAACCACAATAGTTGGACCTTGAAAGTCACATAATTTATGAAATGTATTAACATCAAATCCATCTCTGCTTCCACGTAATAAAAGCCTAAACGTATGAGGATCTGTAACACAGTCATAGAAATCTTGATCTTTATTATCAATCCAGCTTGAGATTATAGCCTTACTCTTATTGTTAATTAATTTAGAACATCTTCTTTGAGGGGTTTTAAATTTAATAAATGTAGTGGAATCCAAGTGGTATTGTTTAATTTGCTTGTCAATATAATGGTTTGGAATGTAATAACAACGAATTAAAGGAATACAATTAGAAATTGTTTCTTTTAATGTATTGAAATGGTCATCGGACCATTCTATGGTATTTTTAACAGACCAATTTGTAATATTTTCATCAAAAAGTTTAGAAATACCCCATTTAATCAAATAATTCCAAATTTCTATTTCCTCAAGCTCAAGATCGTCACTTTCTAAAAGGCAAATCAAGGAAGCCTCGTCTAATAAACTATAATCAGCAGAATCAAAAAGAGAGTAAGGATTTTTAAATACATAATTTAGAATATGATTGTATAATTTATTAAAATGACTGTAGCGACAAATAAAATTGAGTGACGCTACAATATTAGAGAATAACCATGGAGAAAAAACATTAATTAAGTGCTTTTGAGAACATTCAGCGATATCAAGAAGCTCTAGTTCATCAGATGCAACCAGTATATCTAAAGAAACTTCGCCTGATATTTGACATATATTTTTTCCAGTGTAAATATAGCTTAAAAAAATTAAATTATTAGCAAAGCAATACATTACTAACATTTAGTTGATAGATATTTCAAATCGTATAAAACTTACTCAAGAATTAACTTAAAAATAGTAGGATGAATATTTGGCTTTCTAATAATATAAATGCCATGTTTTTGATCCCTCCATCTTTCTGATAATGCCCTTTCAAAATAAAGAGAGCAAGAATTTAAAACTGTAGAATGCGCATCGAATTCTTTAATATTTGGTTCATTTCCAACGATTATTTTTACATCAAAATCGCTATTAAATTGTGACATTTGGATCAATTATACAATAAACATGCACACACATAAATAGTATATACATACGTACATTGTACTTTTAAATAAAAAATATGATCTACCAAGACGTTTACTAATTTCCACACCAGTTCTTATTTTAGGACAAATTGAAAACTCATATTTGATTGGATGAAATAGATCTCACCCAGTGTCAGAATTTTTATACGGTCAAATTACATTTATATTAAAGTATCATTAGAGATATTTTAAGGTCTAATAGGACTTCTTATGCTAATTCTTTGCAAGAATTTTTTTTTTTGTCAGGACACTAAAGATAGTTTAATGAACGAAAAATTATAGTTTACTAATGGTTTTTGTTTTTTTCTTATTTGATTGGTAGACCAAGAGCATAGTATTTCAATTTGTCCAATGTTTTGTACGTACAAAGTATGTACATACGTACGTGCGTACTGAAGTGAGTCATATGTCTCATGATCTTGTCTCATGATCCTGTCTCATGATCTTGTCCCATGTGATACAAGTTAATTTATTACTTCTGGAATTCGTGGCGCTGAGGATCGGGTATAGATGGGTTTCATGCGCATTTTATCCCATCAAGATTTCTCTCCTCTCGATCGTTTTTTCTTTTGTTTGCCTGTTTTTATCATGCGATATCATACGCATGAAACATTTCGTGCGCATTAATGCGCATTCATTGTAATATAATAACATAAAAGAATTACAGCAAAAAATATAACATACTATTACTATATTAATTTATAAATTAATTCTACTAAAAACTATAGATATAGATTATTTCCTCCAGTTTATAAATAACAATTCTCATGACAAAAATAAAATAAAAATAAGGTAGCTCCGCAGCACGTAGTGCCACGCAAGACCAGTACGATCAGCATCAGTAAAGTTTATGCATGTGCATGTGAGTACTTAGGTTATACAAGTAAACTAGGTTTTTTAAATATATTGCACTGTTATCTCAACCACCGAGCCTGCAACCCATTTAACGAAGGTGCATGCATTACTACAGTATCCATGAAGCCTAAAACAAGGTCTTTACACTGCTACAGCCTAACTGCTAAGGTTCTCGTACTGCTACTGCAGCCTTGGGGTCTAATCATTACAAAAAAACAAAATTTTTGTACTACTGCAACAGTCGCGGAGCTTCATAGTTACAAAAATAAAAAAACTAAACCAAAACTAGGTTCTTACACTGCTACTGCCTGACATTACACAAGTCAAACATCAAATATTAAAACTTATTACGGATCACTGCACCAATGGGCAGGATGGGAGGTACGATAGAGTAGCCTTCCTGCAAGGCAAGTAATAGCCAGGAATGTTATGGTCTGTCCCGGTCTGATCTTGGTCCTAAAGACCGGTCTTAGCTGAGGACTGTGGACTCGACCGTGGTCCAAGACCGGTCTATAAATCGATCCATAGGATGGTCTATTGGCTGGTTTTCAAAGTAAGCTATGTATTTTTAACATCCACTATAAATTAATCAATGTTAGCATTGTCAAGTATGAAACTTTAAAACTCGTTACAAATTTTATATCGATATCGGTTGTAACCAGTGATGTGCAAATTCCAATTTTTTTGTATTTAATGTGCATGAAATGAACATGGAAATTTTTCAGAATCTTTTATAAGGTTTCAGAATATTTTGGAATCTATTAAAAATTCTGGCTCATATTATAGTGGTTTCATGATAAATAAAGTTTTATTCATAAGTAACTGCACAATATTGTCATGCAAAACCAGGAACAGGTGAAATCTATACAGACAGCATTCAGTCATAAGAAACCATATTCTTCATTGCAATGCATTCCTAGTATAAGAAATGACTCTTTATCAAAGAAGTCAATAGCACTTGCAATCTGAATATTAGTTTGAATTTCAGTGATTGAGCTTAAAATCTATTGATAAAGTTAATGTTTGACTAATAGTTTTGTTATATAGTTAGTTAGTATTATTATTGTTGGTAGTAGAATTAATGCATTATAGTATATGACATTCTACAATGTAGTATAATTAATTTTACCATTGGCATAAATATTAGGCTCTATAATGCTGTAATGCCATAGTCATAATGCTGTAGCTGTAACTATAAAGACCTAGCTATCATACTAACAAACTTTGTTACAGTAAATTCTATATAATTTTTGATCAAAATTGATTTTTTATTTTTTTTGTATTAAAAATAAAAATTTTTAAAAAAACAAGTTACATAATAATAAAATTAGTACAGTAATACTATTTAAAAATAGTATAAGTGTTTTGCTCTAATACTCTCCTCTCTCAGATAAATATATATTATATAAAGAATTGGATTTTTATAAAATTGTGATGATTGATCATTCAATAAAGTCAAACATACATTTATTTTTATATTAATTTGCAATTTTGTAATTTATTATTATTAATAATATATAATAATTGTATATATAAACATTAAGAAACTCTTTCTGCTAATCATTAGAACACAAAATTCACAAAGAGAAAATCAAAGTTTACATAAAAACTAGTATTAAATTCACAGTTAAAGACTTAAACAAAAAAAAAAAGTATCTAAAACAGACCTAGCAGATGCAATAACAAAAGAAAATAAAAAATATAACAAATAGAAAGAAGACAAACTTGATGAAATGAAAACCAGAAAACAAATTTTGAAAAAATAATATTGACATGAAATTATAAATCATTTTGGAGTATGTGAGTATATAAAGAAATAAATAAACAAATATATACAAAAATTGACAGAATAAACATATAAAATTATAAAATATATATGATAAAAATAAATTAAAAAAAAGTTACATAATAATAATCAAATAATGATGCAAATAAAATCAAAAGCATTAATAACACTAAAGCTAGTAAATAAAAGAATAAAGGCAATATAAAAGCTTATAGATAGTAAAGAATTAGAGCAAGAACTAGCAAATAAAGACAATCACTTTAATATAAGAAATATAGTTGTAATAGCATTATAAAAAACAGATCTAATAGAAATAATAATATTAAGAAAAATATATAAAGCAATAATTAAAGTAGACATAAAAGATCTAACTATTGTAAAAAAATAAATAAAAAAAATAAATTGTACAAGCCAATATCTGATAGCAATAAAAAGTATAAGTAATAAGAAAAATCAAATAATATTAAAAAAAACTAATTATATTAGAAATGTATATAGAAAAAATAAGACAAATAATTAAAATAGTAATTATAATAATAAATAAAAAAGAACTTTAACAGAACACAACTAAAAAAAAAGAAAGACAAAAAAAAAAGAAAAAATAAAGAAGACAAAAAGACATATATGAGTGACAGAAATAACAATAATAGGTAAATATATAGAAAAAAAAATTAAATCAATAAAGACAAATATAATATAGCAAGACTAGAAATCATAAAAAAGAAAAAAGAAAAAATAAGATTATAAAATTGAAGAGAATAGCTTTATAAAGATACTATTAGAACAAAGCATATAGTTACTTTTTAACAGAGATTGTAACAATAAGACAATATATGCAATAAAAATATCAGTATACAATATACTAGATAGCTCAAAAGAAGAAAAAACTAAGTTTGTAAAAAGACTACTAGTATCGAATAAACATGCTCTATAACTTAAAATAAGTTCAAGAAAAGTAATGCTTAGATTGTGATTACTTTTAACTATAAAAATAGTAGGAAAAAAATGATTAATAATATTCAAAAAAAATATAACAACAAATTCAGAATGATTTCTGATACAAAAATATATAAAAGTGATAGTAAAAATAAGAAAAAAAAGAATAACAAGAAAGAGAAAAGATACAGAAAAAAAATAAAAAGACAAAATAAAAAGTCTTAAAAAAAAACATAGATACAGAAGATGAAGAAATTCTAATAACACTTACTATATAAGACCTACCAAAAAAGAACTCAAAGCAAGAAGTTAGATATCTAGTAAGAAAATTAGAAAATATAGTTTTATATAAAATGAAAAAAATATATATAGAATGACAGCAGTAATTAAAGTAAAGAAAGATATAAGACAGATATTCCTAAAGATAATTGCTCTAAGAAATAAAAAACTAACAAGGCTTATAACAAATAAAGAAAAAAAAAAAACTGTTTTACAGTAAGACTAAAAGAAATACTAAAAGAAATATCTGAATTAATTCTTCTAAGAGAACTTAAGGTTAGAAAAGCAATGATAGTATACATACTACTAAATAGATAGTGTATATTAGAAATTATGATACTAAATATTATAACTGATTATATGAAAAATATATAAAATGCAATAAGTACAATAAATACAATAAATGTAATAATAAGTTATATTTAAGATCAACAAAGATATTTCAGATCTGAAGAAGTAAATAAGAAATAAAGAGTAGAAATAACAGATATTAAATAAATATATAAAATAGTTTAATTAGTTTTAATAGATAAGTTATATTTGTAAATAATAAATTTTATATTATAAATAAAGGCCAAAATAGCTCTTAGAAGCAGTATGTTTCATTTGTTTTATTAAATAATAAACCCCAATATACTACATTGTATATAATAAACACTAACATTATTATTATTACAAATTCTGTGAATCTCTATAATGTTACTATTTAAGCTATTGCCACATAACTTACTCTAATTTTATTCATTGACCCAAAGTAACCAAAAGCCTTAATTACCTATTAGCCAAATCTAACACCTTTTTTTAAAAAGATTACTTATTGTACATTATGTAAGATACATATTAAATTATGAAGCAACAGAGTTACAATTTTCCATACTTAACAATAAAAAAACCAAAAGACTATATAGTAGTATTATTTAAAAGTTAAACAGATATAAATATAACTATTAAAAAAAAGTATAATATAACAAAGTCTTAAGAGTAGTAAGTATAGTAAATCATTTTCTATATAGTTTATATGATAAATTGTATTTTTAGTAAAAAATAAACAAATACAATAAGACTAATTTTGTAACTTTCTCTGTAAATTACTTGTACCAAA